GGTTGATGTTGGGTATAAATGTATACATAATGACGTATAATACAAATAATATATAATAAATGTTTATATAATATTTTATGAGGCATAAAATAAGCAGGAAATTATAAKCTCCTTAATTAGCATAGCAATTTATTATTTCTTCTTTTAGATACCTAGATAGCGCCAGTGTTAACAAAAACTCGAAGCCTCCCTACCCCGCTCATTGTATGCATTAAGGAAGATTCTCYACCCYCACCCTCCAGCCATCCCGTTTCCAGTCCTGTATATCTTAGTGAACAACAATTTAAACATTCCGTGTCTTTATCATTTTTGTTATCAAAAACACCTTGCTACTGAAGTTAAAACCAATTTATCAATTGAATTGTTAATGAACAATRGGTTCGTACACTTATCTTTATCTACGATATAATATTATTATTTTCATTAGGTCTATTGCAGTCACATATATATATATAATAAAATATTATATCATAGATTGTTTTTTTCCACCGTCCGGATTGTCTGGGATCTGTTTACTCTTGCAAGGAAAGTTATAACAATGTGTTAATGTTTTTAAATTAATATCAATTGCACTGCGATGGCTGCAGTTGCTCATGGACTGTGTTCTATATTACGATTCGAACCATTAAATAATTAATATTGACATATAATATTCTACATAAATATTATTTTTTTACTTCTATCATAAAAACAGTAGGTAACTAAATATTTTGTATTGCAAAATCACCTTGGATTATCCAAGGCTGTATTGAGTTTTGTTTTTCATGATTTATGTATTATGTTTTATTACATTGCTGAAAATAAATAATCACTTTTTTGTTATTTAGATTTCAATAATTATGGAAGAACGAAGAGTAGTTGATTATTTTGTAGTAGTTGGAGCATCTGGTGAACAATCTCAAGATGATACTAACTCTACCCATCTAAAGCAAAGTTTATGTTCTGATTTACCACCAATTATTGATTTAGCTGTAGTGTTTCCTTCACTGGGTGAAAAGGTACCCCCTGGTTATACACTTATAGAGACAACTCCTACTGGTAAGTCTATGATTAAATCTATAATTGTTCGAATCTACTTAATATTATTCCAATTTTAGGTCTAGTAGCAGATTTAAATCATGGAAGTTTAAGGAGTCCAGAAGTTTTTTTATGTTACCGGCGTGGACGTAATAAACCTCCTATTGTCGATATTGGGTAATTAAAAATATAAATATATTTATTGAAATTAATATCATGAATCATTATAAACTTTTTATTATCTTTATTGATATATTCTACTCCTCAAACTATCCTAATTAAACAATAARTATTTCTAAAATTCAGGTAGTTATTTAATTACACCAATCAAATTAATATCACTTCCAACCAAGTATTTGAATAYAAATGTCAACTGATACACCTAAAATATAGGATAATGTTTGAATATTTTATTTCTATTATAAACATATAAATAAATAATATTTCTCACTTAAAAACTCATGATTATTTACTAAAAATGCAATGCATGATATCATTTTAGATGTGAACATAATCTAATATATTAACAATCTGGCTACTCAAAATATAATTTACAGTATAAAAGTTTTAATATTTTCAGGTCTTACATTTTTATTTTGAGTAAATATTTGAGATTTTTTTTCAGTATTATGTATGATGGCAAAGAAAGGGTGTTGCATGATGCTAAAGTTTTAAAAACAAGTGTTAGTGGTCAAATAGCAAATATCAATAACTCTACATCATCTCGTACTTTTATAACTTATCGAAGAGCATCACCAACTGCACCATGTAATATTTTAGCTGTATCACATGTATGCATAGTTATAACCAGCCGAGGTGAAACACCACCTCATGCATTTTGTCTAATACATAAAAATCTCAATAAAGGTATGGTTGGATCTGATGTTTACCTATGCTATAAAAAGTCTGTTATGAAACCCAAGTCTATTACCTATCAACCAGGTAAAACTATTTCTTTTATTCATATCACTTAATCTTAATTTTATTATATGGAGTTAACAATAATTTTTTAGTTATTACTGATCGGTATCCTAAGACAGATAGAAATTACTTCCATCTTCTGCCTTCAGTAGCTTTATTTTGTTTACCCATGGGAGCCACACTTGAAGCATGGCCAGATGAAGCATCTCAACCAGACCCAATATTTTCAACATTTGTTTTAACTGTTAGCGATGCCTCAGAAAAAGTATGCATTTAAAGATTATACAATAGTGTTTTTAAGAACAAAAACCTTAARTACAATTTTTAATATTTAATCAATGATTTTAATTAGGTCTATGGTGCTGCAATTACTTTTTATGAAAAGTTTAATGGAATACTTTCTAATGAACAACAAAAATTATTAGGTTTAAAAGATTCCTATGAATTAAAAAAAGGAATAAGTTTGCATGCTAATAAGAGTGTGTGTGTTTTGTCACACTGGCCTTTTTTTGATACTTTTCAAAAATTCTTAATGTTCTTATTAAAGACTTATCTTGATAAACAAATACCTATACCTATTGAAAGATATATAACACATTTGGTGGATGAAGTACCATTTCCTTCTCCAGAACGACCGCAGATACTTGTACAATTATCAACWGACACCCAGCTTATATTAACTCAACCAGAAGATTTACCCATTCCTAGGAGGTAATTTTTTGATTTATTTCATGCAG